GGACTGCGGTGTGGGCCGTGGGAGCTACACCTTGGAAGCGGGTGGGGGCGTCGTCCTCAGGGGCCGGCCCGGAGGGCAACGCGGCCTGCTCCCTGACCCTTCCCTCTCCCGCGCCTTGTCCCACAGGCAACCATGTGCGACCGGAAGGCGGTGATCAAAAATGCAGACATGTCGGAAGAGATGCAACAGGACTCGGTGGAGTGCGCTACTCAGGCGTTGGAGAAGTACAACATAGAAAAGGATATTGCGGCCCATATCAAGAAGGTGAGGACCTGGCACCGCACAGTTCCTTTTCCCCTGTTCCGCGTTCCCTGGGCGCTTGGCAGAGTTTTCCTATGGCACGCAGGGTGGCTCAGTGTAGACAGTTCTAGAAAGGACGTAAATGGATTTTGCGTTTCTCTTGGGAAGACCAGACCCTCAACGCCCGAAGTTGTTTTTTTTTTTTTTTTAAATCCCAGCTCCTTGGGGGAAAGCGCCACCTAGCAACGGTTTCCAAGAGTAGGGAGCATCGAACAGTTCCCCCTACTGTAGGATTCCTGCTCCGAGGATCCATCTGGGTGCTGGCGGGGGGGCGGGGGGGGGGTCCGCTGCGTGGGTGTTTCCAGCCGGGCTAGGAGGAGATTTTTTGCCAGCCTTCCAGCCGGGAGTTAGTCGGCAGTTCAGGGAAAGTGGGTGGCAGTGGTGGTTGGGGGCATGAGTGGAGGCTTGGTAAATGGCAGTTTGTAGAAAGCTGGCAAGACTGCCAACTTCTCAAGCTGTGTTTGCTGGAAGGAAAGGAAACTGGAAGCCGAAGCCGTGGGAGGGTTCCAGTGGGGAATGGGAAGATGAAAGGCTTCATATGGAACAAAAATGAATACCTTTTTTGACAAACGCAGCAGTATATGCATCTAGATTGTAAGAAAGGCATTCGGCTTAACAGACGAGGTTTTCATACTGCATGCAGAATGAGATATGAGGAGCCTTAAAGAATTTTACATCGTCTTTGGCCATGGTTCGATCTAACTAGTGAAGAAATTAACGTTCCTAGTTCTAGTGCCCATTGGAATGGGGAAAGCAGGGAGCAGATGCTCTATAACTTGCTAATCTTTAAGACCTGGTAGTAGCTGCAGAGAGGAGAGCAATTTTAAAGGCTAGAGTCTGGCCTAGCTAGCTGTCAGATTCTGTTGCTAGCATTTTTATTTTCGGTCCAGCTCGATTTAGATAATTGAGGCTTTGTCCTTTGGTCTTTCTACAAGTGTCATTAAGGTCTTTCTGGTCATCCTGGATTTCGCGTAGATGGTAGGATAGTTATCAGGAATAACCTGATACACTATAAGCGCTGATGTCATCTACCTCCGTTGAATATGTGAAGTCATGTGCACTAGGCATGGTGGTGCACACATTTAATCCCAGCAGAGGCAGGCAGATCTCTCTGACTTAGAGGCTAAATTGGTCTACATGTGGGCTTCCAGAACAGTCAGGGCTATGTACAAAGACACCCTCACCCCAAGAAGTCAGGTGCAATCAATGAAACAGAAATGTCTTGGAAAATGACCCTTCTGCCTTTGATCTCCGATCCCATTCTGTCTTACCTCAAACTGCAAGCATGTTTGCAGTTCTGCTCTCTATGGATGACTTTTACCCTACGAATTTGCTAGGGTTGTGAGTATAGCTCGGTGGTAGGGCGCTTTCCTAGCATGCCCAAGGTCCTAGATTCAGGGAAGCGTGAAAACAATTGAAGATGCCAGTGTTTGCCCTTTCTGGTCCTACAGGCTCTGGTTTTTCTAGAAAGTGAATTCTCTGGGTACACCACTAAAATTCTGTTTTATTCTTTCCCAGGAGTTTGACAAGAAGTACAACCCCACCTGGCACTGCATTGTGGGGCGGAACTTCGGTAGTTATGTGACACATGAAACCAAACACTTCATCTACTTCTACCTGGGTCAGGTGGCCATTCTTCTGTTCAAATCTGGTTAAAAGCATGGACTGTGCCAAACACCCAGTGATCCATCCAAAAACAAGGACTGCATCCTAAATTCCAAATACCAGAGACTGCCTCTTTAGCTTTGCTAAGGGAACACCTCGTTTGAATCTGTTGTGTTTTGTGCGGAGCATCATCCTCTGTACGAGTTTGTGGTTATAAAATAATTAGTAAAACAGCTTACATTTGTATTTATTTTCTAGGCCATACTTCTGTACCCTTTTTTTTTTTTCCTCCCTTAGGCCATTCCTTTAAAAATAAATCTGTTTGAGATGTATGTGTGTGTGTTAGTTTGTTCAAGTAAGATAGGGTTGGAGCAGCTTACCAGGTGATAAATCACCAGGACTGTAGGGTTGAGGGCTCTGTGTGTGGGATTAGACATTTTAGTGCTCTTGAAATGTAATGCTTGACTGGCCACACTGGTTTCTCCAGATTATTTGGGCTATTGCCATAGGTCTGAGGACCCACCCCTGTCACCCCAGCACTCAGGAGGCGAAAGCAGCTCTGTAGATTCCTGGTGGGCCTAGATCAGAGTGACAGTGCCTTGGGACTTAGCTCACTGGGCTACTGGGCTGTGCTCAGAAATAATAAATGAATCAGTTTCATGGAACAACCTGATTAAAGCTGTGGGTTTGGTCAAGAGCTTCCTGTTGACAATTTCAGAGAAACGCACATATAAGAGACTCCTTATAGGCTGAGAACAACCCACACTTACCTTATGGAAGTATAAGGGTCCCAATAGGGCTGCCTGTTTCCATTTTCATAAGATAAAGCCTTTTTGCTTTAGATGTAATTGACATTAAGCAGCCAGAAAGCTGCTTCACAGAATAGAATGCAGACTTGAACTGACCACAATCTTATAGGTCAGTTACAGCTTTAAAACACTTTTTGCACCTGAAGCTGTTAGACATGGTGTCTTGTCGGCAGGAGCTCGAGGCATGTGAAACTGCTTTACTGTTGATGTATGCCTGTGGAGGGTAGAGGGCAGCTGGGCAGTAGGTTCTACCATGTGGGTGCCAAGACTCAGGCTCAACAGCAAGTCTATTCCATAATCCATCTTGCAGGCCTGTTGGCTTTTTGTGACTATCTTATGAAGCCCAGACTGACTTCACTTGCTCTATAGCTGAGGCTAACCTCGAACTTGCCAAGCCCTGGGGTTGCAGATGTATACCATCTCTAGGTCGTTTCACTGCTCTGATAGTTGGCATGTGTCCCCTACTATCTGCAGAAAAGATGGGGTATTTTGGAGGAGACTACAGTTAGGGTATTTCAGATTTGTATCTATTTGAACAGGTAGAAATGTTTCCATAAATTGAGTCCCTTTCCCTCTTTATGACCAGCTGTATATTATTTGAAACCCAACTGGAACTGACCATCAAAGCTGTAGTTCGCCAAGCAGACGATGGTCTCCATCAACAGTAGTTGATGTCCTTAGACTGAACATTGAGGGTTTTGATCTATTTGATCTGGCCCAAGCTTTCTGTCAATAGACTGGTAACTTTTAACTTTCATTTTCAGGTTTAGATGTGAGAAGACATGTTGCTATAGAAATAAAATTGGCTGGATGGTTTATGGATTATCAGTGCCTGCTCCTTCCTGTTAATGTAAAAGCCAGTAGTCTCCAGCTGGCTTTAAAAAAAAATGTCATTAAAACATGTCAACTGCTCTTTACTGCCGTTCTGAGGCATCTGCAGTTGGCTGTCTGGGAGCTGTTCAGAGACAGACAAGGTCTTATGTGATCTGTTAGTGACTCCTAGTGTGCTGTAACCCTATTTATTTTGTTGTCTTGCTTTGTTTTGTTTTGTTTTGTTTTGATATTTATTTATTATGTATACAGTATTCTGTCTGTGTGTATGCCTGCAGGCCAGAAGAGGGCACCAGACCCCATTACAGATGGTTGTGAGCCACCATGTGGTTGCTGGGAATTGAACTCAGGACCTTTGAAACAGCAGGCAATGCTCTTAACCTCTGAGCCATCTCTCCAGCCCTTGCTTTTGTTTTTGAAGACAGGGTTTCTCTGTGTAGCCTGGCTGTCCTGGAACTCTAAAGACCAGGCTGGCCTTGAACTCACAGAGATCCATCTACCTCTGCCTCCCAAGTGCTGGGATGAAAGGCATGCACCACCACCGCCCAGCTTCTGCAGTTTCTTAGCAAGACTTGATACTAAATGTCATGTTCAAAATACACGTGAAGCCTCTTAGCATCACACTGGGCTGTACAGTGCATGCTCTGCCTAGACCCGTTCTGGAATACCCAAGGGGGTAGCCTGTAGTAATGGTCTGTTGTTGTTGAAGTTTTTTGAGGTAAGCATGAGCTCAGTGTGCAGCCCTAGCTGGCCTGGAGCGGGCTGTGCAGACTTGGCCTCAGCCTGCAGCAGTCCTCCTGCCACCTGGGTGCTGAGGCTGCAGTTTTGTGCCATCATTCAAGGCTCATAAGTACATGTATTCTTTTTTTTTTTTTTTTTAATATTTATTTATTTATTATGTATACACTATTCTGTCTGTGTGTATGTCTACAGGCCAGAAGAGGGCACCAGACCTCATTACAGATGGTTGTGAGCCACCATGTGGTTGCCGGGAATTGAACTCAGGACCTTTGGAAGAGCAGGCAATGCTCTTAACCACTGAGCCATCTCTCCAGCCCAGTACATGTATTCTTTAGATTTATCTGTTTTATTGTTTATGTGTATCACTGTTTGCACGTATGTGTGTGCACAGTGCCCACAGAGGTCAAAAGAGGCATTGGGTCCCCTAGCATAAGTTATAGATGGTTGTGAACCACCACAGGGGTGCTGGGAACCAAACTTCAATTTGCAAGCATAGCAAGTGCACTTACCCACTGAGTCATCCCCCAACCCTGTTATAAATCATTTCCTTCCCCACTCTCTCCTTTCTTCTTACTATAAACATGTATAGATGTATTCTGACAAGCCCCTTTACTAAGACTGCCTTCCTGACCATGGGCACGAGGACAAGACTGACAGGATGCTGACGTGCACTGCATTTGTATCACCTCCCCCAAGAAAAACGGACAAATAGCATCAACAATGTAAACTTTACTGCTTTGCAAAATTCTACTTTTGTTTGTTTGCTTCTGGTGATGAGAACCAAACCCAAGGCCTCAACAGGTTAAGCATGTGCTCTCCCACTGAACTGCACCTTCAGTCCATGGTTCTAATATGTGCTCACTGCTGAGCACCTCACCAGCCCAGGATTCTAATATTGCCAGCGTTCTGACTTGGACATGGGCTTTTGGCCCTAGATTCAACACTAGTCTGAAGGGTTAGTTCAAAGCATCCTTGGGTTCCAGTGATCCATTATCCCTCTGGAAGGCATCTGTGACAGACAAGCTATGAGGAAGTTTCAGCACTGTGTGAGTGCTGGTTTTACCTGACTCCACACTGCACAGCCAAGTGCTAGCAGGAGTGCAGCAAAACCAGACCAAACCCTTCTGGGAGGCCTTGGTGGCCTGGGCAGCTACTAATGAGAGCTGCAAAAACCAGCAGGGGTTTGTTTCTTCCTTTTTGAGACTGGTCAATGCAGAATATGAATCCAAGGTTTGATAGCCTTCAAGAGAAGAGAGATGCTCAGCTACTGTCTCATCAGGGAGATTATCTTCCAGTTCCAGACCTCTGCTGAAACGACTGGTTTGTGCTGCACACAGAAAGGAGCTAAAGTTTGAAGCCAGAATGAATGGCCACGATTCCTGTTGTCAGGCTTTCGTAGGTCACCTTCTGAAAGCCTGCATCTTCAATCATCTCCTTGAACTCTTCCTGAAACACAAGAGAAGCACATGGAATGCTTGGGTTTCAATCTCAGGGTGTTGGCTATAAATTACAAAAGCTCTGTACCTGATTTGGGAACTTCCGAATACTTTCCACAAGGTACTGATAGGACTTCCAGTCTCCTGCAATGACCTCCCCAATGACAGGGATGACCTGGAAACTGTACAGGTCATAAAGCCTAAAAAAACAAGAGTGACAAAGGCAAAGATTAAGATTAGAGTAGATTCTGGGTGTATTCCCTGTACCAATAACAAAGAAAAGTGTAGGGCTAGGAGAGATGGCCCAGTGGTTAAGAATGCTCTCTATAGCCAGGCATGGTAGTGCACACACTTAATCTCAGCACTTGGAAGGCAGAGGCAGGCAGATCTCTTTGAGTTTAAGGGTAGCCTGGTCTATAGAGAGTTCCAGGACAGCCAGCCAGGGCTACATAGTGAGACCCTGTCTCAAAACAAACAAACAAACAAACAAACAAACAAATCTTTACAAAAATGTGCTTGGATCGCTCCCTTAATAGTAAGTGGGACAGTGCAAGCCCGGAGTCACTGACTCAGATGTCTACAGGGGTCAGGCCAGTGACTGAAACAAGGCAAGCAGACCAAGAGCACGGCCAAGAGGCCTACAGCGAGTGACGGCTGTGGAAAACTGGACGAAAAGCAGTTAACTCTGCCTCTGATCCTGTGCGGAGGAGTTCGCCCTACCAAGCTGTGATACATCCGATTTTTCCAGTGAAGCTGGAAATCCAGGTTCTCATGTTAAATTCTTGATTTTACGTTTTTAGCTGGCTGGTGGGTTTGAGATATTCTTATTCATTCTGTAGACTAGTCTGGCCTGAACTCATTATACTGACCCAAGCAAGGGTTGAACTTGAAGTGATCCTCCTGCCTCAGCTTCCTGAGTGTTAGAATTACAGGTATAAGCCAGCACACCTAGGATTAAATTTCTTAAAATACCATATGAGTCAAACAAAACAAACTGTGTGGGCTAGCACGGCCTCTGGGTGTTTGCTGAGGCTCCTGACCCAAGCATTTTCACTAAGAACTCACTGACCTCTTCAAGAATCCCTGCCCCTTGAGCCGGGTGGTGGCGCACGTCTTTAAATTCCAGCACTCAGGAGGCAGAGGCAGGAGGATCTCTGAGAGTTTGAGGCCAGCATGGTCTACATTAGCTAGTTCTAGGACAGGCTCTAAAGCTACACAGAGAAACCAAAAGAGGAAAAAAAAAAAAAAGAAAAGGAAAAAAAAATAATCTCAGCCCCTTGGTGCCTCTGAACTTACAAAGTCAGATGCCTGTAGGATTACTGGTTATTTTCTATTTGGGGGTGGGGAACCTTTTCTAGACAAGTTTATAAAGCTCTGCTATCAATGCTAACCTGGATATGAGGGGATCATTCACTTGGCTAAACTCCAGACAGAGAAACCGTCCTCCTGGCTTTAGGACCCGATGGGCTTCCTGGAGTGCCTGAGAGAAAGAGTGAGAAGAAAATCCTCAGCAGACCTCTCCACAATTCCAAGGGTCAGAGGCTGGTTTAGTTTCTATGTGCACTGAATGAAACATTCCCCATAAATTCCCTTTTATATCCTTAGGATTTATAATGCAGAAATTACCCCATGTTCAGGTACTTGCTGCCCCGTGACTAGAGAAAGTTGCTGATGCAGGCAGACGGGCACAGCTCCATGAAGATGAAGCTTAGAAACATGCGTTAGAGCCACAGTGCGTGTGTATCTGTGCACCACTTGTGTGCCAGTGCTTGCAGAGGCCAGAAGAGGGCATCATATCCTCTGGAACTAAAGTCAGACACAGATGTGAGCTGTCATGTGGATGCTGGGAATGAAACCTGGGTCCTCTGGGAGAGCAGCCATTGAGCTATCTTTCCAGACTCTAATATAACAATTTTAATTAAAGGAATATGACAGAAAATGACACATATGTGGATCATTCATTTTATAAAGCACAGAATGCAACACAACTTTACCCATCAAGAACCTGGTGAACATCATGGGAAATCTGCACAAATACAACCTACTTAGCTATTGTCAAAGGAAGAACTAAGAGTTTTATGTGATAACATGGAGAAAAATCACCGCATAAGCCCAACCAATGGCCCAGGCCTATAACCCCAGCTACTTGGGAGACTGCACAAGGCCAGCCTAGGCTATAGGGTGACTTTAAGGCCAGTTTAACTTAATAAGACTTAGTGAGTATCTATAAAAAGCTCTTAAGCAACATAGACATATATAAAAATCACTGATTTATGTGTGTGTGTGTACATGTGCACACATGTGTTTCTTTAGAATGTTGAAGACTGAACTCAGGGCCTTGCACATGCTAGACAAATTCTCTGCAACCCCAGTACACACCTGGCCTTTTCCCTGGAACTTGCTCTATGGACCAGGCTGGTCTCAAAATCAGGGATCCGCCTGCCTCTGCCTCCTGAGTGCAGACTGAAAATGTGTGCCCCACAGTTAGCTCCTCCTGCTTGTGTAGCCAGCACTTTACTGGATGAGCCATCTCCCCAGCCTTTCCTAAGCACTGGGGTTATAGGCACTGCCAGCACACACAACTGTAATAGACACACTTAAAAGACACAAAACATCTTTACAAATATACTCAAGGAATTGGAGACTGTGTGGGAGTAGAGGCACCGAATGCTGGGAGATGAGTGTGAGGTTCTCACTGATGCAATCTTCAACTTTGATCCTATTCAAAAGTAGTTCGTTTTAATCTTACTTTTTTGGTTTCGTGAGATACAGTTGTTACTGGGTCTGGTTACAGGATAAGAACTCATCACATAAGTCTCTTGTGGCCTTAAACTTGCAATGATGCTCCTGCTTCTGACTCCTGAGTGCCGTATCACAAGTGTGAGCCACAACAACTGGCAAAAACACGTTTCAATCAGAGAATATAGTAAACCTTTTATAGATAAAGGGATGGCCATAAAAACCAAGCTACAGAGTGGGTGCTGGCTGCCTAGCACCACAACGAACTGCACAGAGCAGCATAGAGAAGGGCTCGTTTCCGCTTACAATCTGGTAGGTTCCAGGCTGGGACAGGGTAGACCTTTGCCTGCAGACTCTGGTGAAGAGGCACAGGATGGCAAACTGCTCACCTTCACCTTGAAGTCAAGAAGCAACAAAGAAGTGATGTGGGAAGTCCTTCTGTATATGTTTTGTGTTTATTGGTTAATGAATAAAGAAGCTACTTGGGCAAAGGCAGTGCAGTATAGAGCTAGGTAGGAAAACTAAACTAAATGCTAGGAGAAAGTAGGCGGCATCAGAGAGAAGCCATGTAGCTACAGGAGAAAGATGCCCTCCAGAGCCTGGTGGAACTTTGCCAGTAGGCCACGACTAATGGAGAACCTTGCTAGCCAACCATCTTTAAGAGGTGGGTCTTAGTTAAGGCGTGGCTTTGCTGGGACCCAGGGTAAAAGGTGAGGACCTCTGTGTGCATGCTCCCTGCACCTTTCCCCGCAGGACTGTGCTTGGATTTCTCGTTTCCTATTTTGTGAGTTTCCCCCTTATAATAAATAAAATATAATTGTTTTATCCTTAACTAGCCTGGTTATTTCTACACACGACCTCATGGTGATACATAGATTAATAAAGATGGGTTAATTTAAGATGTAAGAGCTAGCTAGCAATACGCCTAAGTGAATGGGCAAGCAGTGTTTTAATTAATACAGTTTCTGTGTGATTATTTTGGGTCTGGGCAGCCTCCAACTACAAATAAGGACAGCTTTTGTTTTATTTTTTTGAGACAGATTCTCATACAAGAAGCAGTAATACCTGACCTTGGTTGTTTTAAATAGGATCTATCAGGCCAGGAGACATGTGCCTTTCTTTAATCCTAGCACACTACAGCCAGAAGCATACATAATGAGTCTAAGGTCAGCCAGGGTAACAACGTGAGACCTTTTCTCCAAAACAGACAAAACAAGCCCACAAAAACCAAAACAACGGCAACAAAGATAGGCTTTAGCCACACAGCCAAGACTTCCTTGCAACTCTATCTCAGCCTCCCAGGTCCTGTAATTGCTGTATATGTTGACATGCCTGGCTTAGGAAACTACATCCTAGCAAATTATCAAACCCAGAGAGAGGGTGGTAAAGACCCTCTGGCCTGTAGCCAGGGAGAAACCATATCTGACCTGGAGTGCAGTCTAGTGGACCGAACCCTTGGCCTGGAGGAATCTGTGGACGTTCCAGTAGCTAGTATCATAACTAAACTGGAGGGCACTCAAGTGGCCGTTTGCAGAGGCTTATGTGTCCACATGACTGTGTCACAAATAGTGCAGAATGTGGAAAAGACAGAAAAACTTCCCTTCATAGTAGCAAAGTAATTATTTACAGGATTAATTTGTCTCTTCAAGGAGAGTTTTTTTTTAATTTATTTAACTTTATGTGCATTGGTGTGAAGGTGTTAGATCCCCTGGAACTGGAGTTACAGACAATTGTGAGCTGCCGTGTGGTTGCTGGGAATTGAACCCAGGTCCTCTGGAAGAGGAGCCAGTGCTCTTAATCACTGAGCCATCTCTCCAGCTCCCTATGTTTGCATTTCTTTTCTTTTACCTTTTAAAGATGTATTTATTATATGTACAGTGTTCTGAGCACCCGGTCTCATTACAGATGGGTGTGAGTCACCATGTGTTTGCTGGGAATTGAACTCAGGACCTCAGAAAGAGAAGCCAGTGCTTTTAACCTCTGAGCATCTCTCCAGCCCAAGAGAGGGTTTTTTGTTTATTTTATTTTTGTTTTTAAGCTGGATGTAGTAGTTCATGTCTGTAGTTCTAGCATTTGGGAAACTGGGACAGGATTGCTGCAAGTTCAAAGACAGCCTGGGCAACACAGTGAGTTCTAGGTCAGCCTGGCTATAGAGTGAGACCCTGCTTCAAAAGAACAAAATGAGGATTTGTTTTTTCAAGACATGATATTGTTACATGGGTCTTGCTGGCCTGGAATTCACTATGTAGAAGAGGCCTCAAACTTAAAGCAATTCTTCTGCCTTTGCAAGAGTGTTGAGAATATAGCCATATGCTACCACACCTGCCTACGAAGTGCTTTTTTTTTTTAAATTAAAAAATATAGCTGGGTGTGTTGATACACACCTTTAACCCCAACACTTGGAAGGCAGAGGCAGGTGAAGCTCTGAATTCAAGGGCAGCCTGGTCTACACATGAAGTCACAGACAATAAGTTCTATGTCAGGACTACATATGGAAACTTTGTCTCAAAAACAAACCACACACACACACACACACACACACACACACACACACTCTCTCTCTATATATATATATTTATATATATATACCTACACCTATATAGATATATCTAGTATGTGCGTGCATGTGTGTATGCACACATGAGCATGCACGTGGAAAACAACTTGCAGGAGTTGATTCTTCTACCGTGTATTTCCTGGACTGAACTCAACCCATAAGGTCTGGTAGCAAGTGCATTTACCTGGCACTTTTGATCTTGGTTTCCAAGTAATAAAATAGAGAAAGGGATAGAGGTATCAGAGGGGAAAGTAAGGGAGAGAAAGAAAAATAAAAATGACTGGGAGAGAAGGGCAGGAAAGGAAGAAGGCTTAGAGAAATGCTAGACAGCTCAAGGTCCCTAACCACCAGGAGGCATGAGCATACTCAACTGACCTACGGGGCTTCCACAAGGCCCCATCTAAAGGTCCACAGCACCTCCCAACAGCGTTATCCTCAGGTCTCTCGGAGAGTACTACCTATATTCAGACCAGAGCAACCACTACAAAGAAAGTCTTGCCTAGAAATAGAGGAGTCAGACAGTGGGGGCCCACAATACAGAAAAGAAGCCAGTTTCTTGCATATGGTCTTTAAATGTTTGAATGTTCAGGAGGAAATGAAGAGCTGAATCCTATTGAGCTATGAGCATTCTCTTCCCGCTGTACTGGAACCATGATATTCCCTCCTGCCTGTACAGCATCCAAATGCCTCTTTCTGTGTCTGACCACGCCTCTGACCTGCAACCTCACACAGCTTCACAAAAGGAAACAGGAAATGCCATGGCAGGTCCAACCATGAAGAAAATGTAAGTGCCAACCTGAGCAACCAAGAACTGGTTCTGGCTTAACATCGTGGCAACTAAGAAACAAAAAAGCCCTGGGGCTGGAGAGATAGCTCAGTGGTTAAGAGCACTTACTACTCACACAGAGGACCCAGGTTAAAGTTTGCAGTACCCATATTAGGTGGCTTCTAACTTCCTGTAACTCCAGCACCAGAAGACCCAACGTTCTCTGGTCTCCAAGGGCACTTGCATGACACAGTGCACAACAACTCACACACAGGTACATACATATATACATCAATAAAGAATATATATATATATATACATACATATACACATCAATAAAGAATATATATATATATACATACATACATATACACATCAATAAAGAATATATATATACATACATACATATATACATCAATAAAGAATATATATATATACATACATATATGCATATATATATCTTTTTTTTTTAAGAGAAGAGCTATGGAGATAGCTCAGTGGGTAAGAGCACTTGTTGTGGAAGTAAGAGGTCCTAAGTTCAAATCCTCAGCACCAATGTAAAAGCCATACTTCTCAGGGCCAGTATACCAGCATACACACACCACACACACACACACACACACACACACGAGAAAGAGAGAAAGAGGAGGAAGAAACCTCTAAGTTTAAATAGTCACTCCTCTTAACTACTGAGCCCAGAAAAGAATCCTCCCTGTCTTCACTTGGGATAGATCCACTCCAGGGGAACTGCTATCCTGAAAAGCACATGCATCACGAGGATGCATCTATTCATACCCGGTCAATGTGTGTGACATTCCGGATCCCAAAAGCAATGGTGTAAACATCAAATTTGTCATCATCAAAGGGCAGTTCTTCAGCATCTCCCAGTACCCATGCAAGTCCTGGAAGACAAAACCAGTATAAGTCTAGGTGGCTGTTTCCCACCACACCAGAGAAGTAGTGAATCTGAGGATTCTGTAGAAAGCCAAATAAAAGTGTAAGTGCCCAGGCTGGAGAGGTGGCTCAGTGGTTAAGAGCACCAGCTGCTCTTCCAGAGGTTCTGAGTTCAATTCCCAGCAACCACATGGTGGCTCACACCCATCTGTAATGAGATCTGGCGCCCTCTTCTGGCGCACGGGCATACATGGAGGCAGAATCTTGTATACATAAGAAATAAATAAATAAATCTTTAAAAAAAAAAAAAGTCTAAGTGCCCTAGACATTAATGTGTGTGACCTTGTGGTGGTGGTGGTGGTGGGGGTCCAGTGGCATAGAGCCCATGATGCAAAGTCTGGGTAATGCCAGAATTGAAGTGAGAGAATTCAAGAACTGTTTGGTTGTTGTGTAATATTACTTTAATTATGTAAAGGTGTGTTACATTTGTTTAACAATGTAAAGATGTGTTGGTTTGCCTGCCTAAGGCACCTGATTGGTCTAATAAAAAGTTGAATGGCCAACAGCCAGGCAGTAGAGGAATAAGCAGGGTTGGTAGGCAGAGAGAATAAGTAGAAGGGAGAAGTGAAGAGAGAGAGATTGAGAAAGGAAATGAGGGAGACACCAGCCAGACATGGAGTAGGACATACAGAATGAAAGAAAGGTAAAAAGTACCAAGGCAAAACGTAGATGAATAGAAACAGGTTAAACTAAGTTATAAGAGCTAGTGGGACAAACATAAGTCATGAAAGGCCAAGCATTCATAACTAATAATAAGTCTCCATGTCATGATTTGGAGGCTAGCAGTCTGAGAAAGTCTGCTACATTTGGTGTCGTGGAGACTATAGATTTGGTGTCAAAAAACACCTGCCTTCTCCACTGTACTCCTGGCTGCCTTCACTGGTGTCCTCCAATTTTAAAAACCTAACTTATAGCAGGGCAGTGATGGTGTATGCCTTTAATCCCAGCACTAGGGAGGCAGAGGCAGGCAGGTCTCTGTGAGTTCAAGGCCAGCCTGGTCTACAGAGAGTTCCAGAACAGACTCCAAAGCTAAGCAGAGAAACCCTGTCATGAATAAACAAACAAACAAACAAAAACCCCACTAACTTATTTGGGGACAGCTACCCAGCAGCATTTCTGTTTCAGCGCTAGAGATCAAACCCTGGACATTTTGTGTGCTGGGCAAATGTTGCATTGAACTGCATGTCTAGCCCTACCCTAAACCCTAAAGAAATGTTTTTCCAACCAAGTGCTTCATAGTTAGCACTGTGGTAAAGAGTTATGGCCTTAAGGTTTTACTTACTACTTTTTTTTTTTAATAGTTTTCAAGACAGGGTTTGTCTGGGTAGCCCTGGCTGTCCTGGAACTCACTATTTAGACCAGGTTGGCCTCAAACTCACAGAGATTCACCTACAACCACCACCCAGCTCCAACTTTCTTTTAACTTTTTATTAACTAAATTGTCCAAGGCTGACCATAAAATGAATTCACTCAAGACCAGGCTGACCTTGAATTTTTGATTCTCCTGAGTCAGCCTCCCAAATATCTGGGGTTATAGGTCTGAGTGATTGGTCTGGTTCTAAATTCAAACAACAGTAGATCCTCATCAGTATAACTGTGTCCTGAAGGACAGGGATTTCGATTCACAGTTTACTAAGGACCAGCAGGGCGGCTCCGAGGAAAAGGTGCTGTTGCCAAGATTGACACCTGAGTTTGATTCTTAGAAACTACATGGGGGAAGGAGAGAACTATTTCTTACAAATTGTTCTTTGACCTCCACAAAAATACGCTTATGCACACACACATACAGGCACATGAAGTAAATTAATGTTAAAAACTCCAACACTGTCAAATAAACATTATGGGAGGCCACTATTTTGAACTATGCTCTTGCACTAGGTCCCAATAGACCAAACTGAAAATCATAGTGGATGGCTTGTGCTCAAGCTCCCTCATCCATGTGGAAAATGAGCTGTGAAACTTGAGGACTCGCACGGCTCCTCCGACTCTACTCCTACAAAAAGAAAGAAACAACTAGAAACACTCCCTGATAACCACTCATGCCCTTCTGGACTCATTTACAAAAACAGAGACTCTGAAGCAGCCAATTGGCTTTTGATTCTTCCCCTTTGTTTTCTCTAGTCTTTATCTTTTCATAAAACCAACCTCTTTGTTTGGTCATCAAAACATTTTGCATCCTGGAACTCCCTCCGTGGAGCAGGCTGGCCTTGAACTCAGACCAACCTGTGCTGGCTGTTGCCTCCCAGGAGAGTTTACGCCTAATTGACTATCTCTGGAATAATGTCAGCAAAGGACAGATTCCAACCATTTAGCTCAAAGGATTTTTGTTGTTTTTGTGTGTATGTGTGACTGAGTGTATGTAAGTGCACCACACATGTACAAGAGCCCACAGAAGTCAGAAGAGGGTGCTGGAGCCCTGGAACTCGAGTCTTAGCAGTTGTAAGCTGTCATTTGGATGCTGGGAACCCACTGCAAGAACAGTCCCCTCTCTCAGTCACCTAGAGAGCCATCTCTCCAGCCTCTAGCTTAAAGACTGTAAGTGGCTTTACTTTTCATTGCATAATCAGGCAGGTAGAGGTAGAACTGACTATCAGGGGCTCAGAAGCAGCCCTAGCTGCTAGTTTGGATAATGTGACAACAACAGTGAATTCCTAAGCAGGTTCATAGCTACACTGTGGAGGAAATGGCTCCAGAAGTGGAACATTACCTATCATTTCACTGTTTGTCCTCCATTCTCTATGGCCGAGCACCAGACAAAGGAAATCCTTTTATCAGTAGGAGTGAGACACGTAGTGTCTTTGTCCAGAGACTGCCTTCTGGCGAGCGTGGCTAGCAAACAAAGAAGCCCTTCATCATGAAAGCCAAGTGGGCTGCAGTTCGTCTGGGCAGCTTCTTCTTGATGTGTGAGGAGGAGGAAGAGAATAATTGGCCTAAAATAACCAGACATTCAAGTGGGAGGGGGGGACAGAGAAATGCTGACATTGCCCAGAGTGTTGACAGAGGACCTTCTTTGTGACGTGCCCTTGTCTCTCTGGCTGCCTGCACTGCCTTGATGGCAGGGAAGAGGGCAGTCTGGCAGTCCCGGAGAGCTAAGTCAAGAGGGAAAGCTTTGTTGTTTGAGATGGTTTCACTGCATAGCCTCAACTGGTTGGGAACTCACTACATAGAGCTCTCACAAAGGTCTACCTGCTTTTGCCTTCCAAATTCTGGAATTAAAAGTATGTACTGCAGCTGGGCGGTGGTGGTGCTCGCTTTTAATCCCATCACTCAGGAGGCAGAGGTAGGTGGATCTCTGTGAGTTCGAGGCCAGCCTGGTCTACAAGAGCTAGTTCCCAGGAAAGGCTCCAAAGCTACAGAGAAAGACTGTCTAGAAAAAAAAAAAAGTATGTATTAAAAGTGGTCAGTGGTGGCGCACACCTTTAATCCCAGGGTTCAGGAGGCAAAGGCAGGCAGATCTCTGAGTTCAAGGCCAGCCTGCTCTACAGAGCGAGTTCCAGGATGGGCTCCAAAGGTACATAGCTTGGTTGGCTAGGACAAGTATTTTGAAATATTCAACGGTCAGATGTAAAATCAGTGGCAGAGTAGCATAGTCAGCATGTGCAAGAGCCTGGGTTCAATCTTCAGTACTGAAAAAGGTATTTAAAAAGAAAGAAAAAAGGAAGAAAAAGAAAATTGTGTGACTTAAGAAGCTCCTGGTATGAATTCAAGGCCAGCATGGTCTACAGAGTGAGCTTCAGGCTAGCCAAGGCTATATAGTTAAGACCCTGTCTCAAAAAAAGCAACAACAAAACCAAAAACTTGAAGAAGATTTTTAGGGTGTGAGACGGTTCAGTGGGTAGAGGTGCTTGCTGCCAACCCTGATGACATAGCCCAGTTCCCAGGACCCATGTGGTGGAAGGAGAGAACCAACTCCCACAAATTGTCTTCTGACCTCCACACAAGTGCTATGGCACCAGTATAATCTCCTCTAGCCCCCATAAATAAAAACCATAATTTTAAAAAGTAACAATGGCTGGAGAGATGGCTCAGCAGTTAAGAGCACCGGCTGTTCTTCCAGAGGGCCTGAGTTTGATTCCCAGCATCTGAAACTCCAGTTCTAGATCTGATGCCCTCTTCTGCCCTCTGCAGGCACCAGGCACCCATGTGCTGCAGAGACATATATGCAATTTAAACACTATACAGATTTAAAAAAAAAAACAACAACAAAAAAGAAGATCCTTAAACACTTTGGGCCACACAGCACCGCTCACCAAGCTTAGCCCATTGCTCCAATTCTGGAACATACCTATAAGGTGGGCTCAGCCACTATCTTCAGTCCCTGCTGACTGGTTACACATCCAGTGGCTGGATCATAAACACTTGAGAATTGATGTGCATCGCCTTACTTCCTAAGCCTGAAACAATGCTGCGTCTGCTGAGGGACTCACCAGCTCTGTGTCCTTGGTCCACGGCTTTCTGCTTCCCAACCTTTAGCATCTCCCTGTTGATGTCACAGACCGTGACAAGTGAACCACCCAAGGGGTCCTCTTCATTCTGGTACTTTTTGGCAATTTCTTCCCAGGATAAATTTTGCTGAGCTCGTAATTGTCTCCGCTGCTTCCTCTGATGCTGTGCCTGAACATAGCGAAGGAACCGGAATGCAATGTCACCTGCGGGAAGCCAACAGAAGGAAAGATAAGAATGAAACCAAGCAAAAAGTATCCCAAGCCACAAGGCAACCGTTCCTCCCTCCACCCCCAAAAGGATGTGTCTGTGTTGTCTAGGCTGGCCTTCAACTCCTGATCCTCCTGATACAGCCTCCTGAGCTGGGATCAGAGATGCATGCTACCACGCCTCAGTTACACTAAACCTTTTTCCTTCCTTTCTTCCTTCCATTCCCTCCTTTCTTCTTTCTTCCATTTCTTTTTTTGAAACTGATTTATGTAGCCCAGTCTGGCCATGAGTTCACTAAATAGCTAAGGATGATTTTGAAGTCCTGGTACTCATGCCTCCACTTCCTGGGTGCTGGGATTATATGTATACATCACACAACTGGGGTTTAAAATAATTTTCATATTAAGGGCTGCAGGTGTGGCTCAGTGGGGAGAGTGCTTGCCTAGCATGCACAAATTAAGGGGCTCCACACCTAGCAGAGCATACACCAAATAACCAACTAAACATGGCTGTGTATGCCTACAATCCCAGCACTTGGGAGGTGGAGGAAAGACGATTAGGTCAGCACAGCTATGTAATGAGTTTAAATTTAGCCTGTGGTACATGAGACCTGTCTCAAAAAAAACAAAAAAGCCACTATGACGGCACATGCCCAGTTCTTGAGAGGCATGTGGACCTTTGTGTTAAAAGGCCTGCCTAATCTACATAGCAAGTTCCAGGTCAGCCATGGCAACATAGTAAGACCCTCTCTAAAAAACAAAAACAAAGACTTTACAAAAGTAATATAAGTAGTATAAGATGGCTCTCTGCATCTAAAGGTTCCAATCTACAGATCTGACTATGGACCACTGAGCAGTGAGACCTACCAAACCCACAGACTTTGTCATCATTCCCTAATAACACAGGGAAACAGCAGCTCACCTGGCACCTGTAGCTGCCATGTGGCACTGTGCTCAACCAAGGGTCTGAAGCCTGAGCCTAAGCAAGACCTCAACCCAGCACACATTCTGTCAATGTTATCATTGCTGCTTTGTTTTAGACAGTTGTCTAGGTTGTCCTCAAGTTTGCTATGTGGCAGAGGGTGACAATTTCTGTTCCCTTGGCCTCCACCTTCTGAAGGATAGGACTGTAAGTGTGTATGGCCAATCCTGGTTTCTGTGGTACTGGGAACTGAATCCAGAGTTTCATGCATGCTAAGCAAGCTCTCTACCAACTAAGTCACATCTCCAGCTCTTAATTGTTTGGTTTGTATTATTAGGTTTGTTTGTTCTTTTTTTTGAGAAAGGGTCTTTCTGAGTAACCCTATCTGTCCTGGAACTCAATCTGTAGACCAGGCTGGCCTTGTACTCAAGAGATCTGCCTGCCCTTGCCTCCCAAGTGCTGGGATTAAAGGTGTGTGCCACCACCCGCCGGTTTATTAATTTAAGATTTTGTTTTTAATTATGTGTGTTTTTGCATCCGTATGTGGGTTTGTGCACATAGTGCAGTGCCGGTGGAGTCTAGAAGAGGGTGCTGGACCCCTGGAGCTAAAGTTACAGACAGTTGTGAGCCACTTGACATGGGTGCTGGGAACTGAACCAGTGCTCTCCACAAGAGCAGTATTTACTCTTAACCATTGAACCATTTCTCCAGCCCCTATCTGTTTGGTTTTTGAGATAGGGTCTTTATCTGTAGCCCAGGCCGGCCTCACATTCACTATGGAATTCAGGCTGGCTTGGATTCTCCTGCCTCAGCCTCCCAAATGCTCTCTGATGTACACTTTCTTAGCATTTTTCTCCCCCGGTGCTCAGTGTGCAATAAGGAACAAAGGCCTACAATATGCTTTGATGCCTGATATGGGAGTGGATAAGGCAGGAAGGTGGCCTAAATAGCTTATGTCCTGAACAGCTTATGTCGTGTGAGAAAAGGCCATTCTCCAAACGCAAGGAAAGGAGATTAAAGGCCAAATGGAAGATAAACAGGCTGGAGCAAAGCTCTATGACACAAAATTTTCTACAGTATTTGTGAAGCCATGGTTTACTCCCAAGCATTGAGGAGGAAAACCAAAACAAAGCAAAACAAAACAAAAAACAAGCTGGGCATGGTGCCCTGGGCCTGTAAGCCCAGCACTGGGGAGGCAGAAGCAGGAAGATCACAGATGGCAAGGAGTTTCAAAGCCAGCTTGGGTTGTTACGATAATGGCGAATCAATCCCACACCAGTTATGTTTTAAGGGGTTATTTATTTTGGGGGGGTAAAACTTACATACACCATAAACCGTCAGGAAGGGAGCCTAGTCGCTGAAGCAGGAGCCCGGAGCAGGAGCCGGAACCAAGCAAGCCGAGCAGAGCCAAGCCAAGCTTGCCGCTCTTCTTTGAAAGAGAAATACACCATGCCCCAGTGGGCTGGTATTTCAGTGGCTATTGGCTGATGGAGCGGAAGGCTGAAGGCGTTTCCGCAGCACTTTGGGCTCGTGCTTCAGCGACTATTGGCTGAAGCAGCGGAAGGTACTCCCACAGCATTACGAAGTGAGTTTAAGGTCAGCCCGAGCTGTCTCAAATACCCAAAAACAAAAATCCAAAGAGATAAAGCAGTCATTCAGATAATGAAATTTCACAGATCACTTTTTAGTTGATGAAATCTTTCCTTAGAAAAGCACCAGGCATGAAGCTGCCCTGGACCGACATGTTTTGCCTCTATCAGAAGTCAGCTGCACACTGACCTTGCAGTCACCACTGCCAGCCTAATGGCAGGTGCGGTAGCCCACTTCACCAGCAGAGAAGTCTCACAGGATACTCAGCCTTCCCAAGGATACCAAGCAAGGTATTACCTGTGCCTCCAGCCACATCAAGCAGTTGGGTTCCGGGCAATGGGTGCATTTTCCTGATCAGCAAATCCTTCCAAGCACGATGGATGCCGAGACTCATCATGTCGTTCATCAGGTCATACTTCTTGGCCACACTCTCAAACACCTGATAGACTGGCATGAGACAGACACAGTTATCAACGGGACTGATGAGGGGAAATCTAAAGGAAGAAACAAAGGGATGCTTTCCCTCCTGAAAGTGCCTGTCTTTGCAAGGTGATGCTAAGCCACAATGCTTAACATTAAACCTAAGATGCACCTTAACATTGTTTCCCTTCTCATGGTGCTGGGGATTGAACCCAGGGTCTAGCACTTGCTAGGTAAGAAGCCCATCAGCGAATGATTTCCGCAGACCCCAACACCACCCTACATCAAATGCTTAAAGGTTCACAAGAGAAACAAACCTATTTCCTAAGGTCTAGCACTCCCATTCAAACTCAGTGTTTGGAATTTTTCTTAGGATTTAAACGTTTCAAGCCAAACTTTAAAAACCTTTAAAATATGAGCTAAATCCCATTTGGAGATGTGTGTGTGTGTGTGTGTGTGTGTGTGTGTGTATGATATAATGATTTTTATCAAGACAGAGTTTCTCTATGTAATATCCCTGGCTGTCCTGAAATTCACTTTGTAGACCAGGATGGTCTCAAACTCAGAGATCCGCCTGCCTCTGCCTCCCGAATGCTAGGATTAAAGGCTAGGACATCTGACCCTCAAAATATATTAATTTTTATTTTATGTGTATATCTGCCTGCACGTATATGTCTATGTGCCACATGAGTGCCTGGTGTTCATGGAGGCCAGAAGAGGGTACCTACGATCCCTTGGGACTGGATATAGACCAGTTGTTCTCAATCTTCCTAACACTGTGACCTCTTACAACTTCTCATGCTGTGGTGACCCCAAAAACAAAAGTTATCTCATTGCTATTTCATAACTGTAATTTCAATACTGCTAAGAATCATAAGGTAAATATCTGTGTTTTCTGATGGCCTTAGGTGATACTTTTGAAAGGGCTGTTCCACCCTCAAAGGGGTCATAGCAACCCACATGTGTTGTTATGTTGTTATGGGCAGTTGTGAGCCATCATGTGAGCGCGGGGAACTAAACTGGGTCCTCAAAAGCTTTTACTGCTAAGCCATCTCTCTAGGGCCTTGATTTATGTATTTATTTATTTATCTATCTATCTATCTCTAGCCCTTTTTCTGATTTATTTATTTTTGAAGAAGGGTCTTGATATGTGGTCCAGGATGCCTTGAACTTGTGATACTACCACAAGCCTCCTGAATGCTGGAATTATAAGTATGGGCACCACATTCAATTTCTTTTCTTTTCTCTTTTTTTTTTTTTTTTTGAGACAGGGTCTCTCACTATGTAGCTCTAGCTATCCTAGAACTCACAGAAATCCACTTGCCTCTAGCTCGTGTGTGTGTTTGTGTATATGGTGTGTGTTTTGATTTTTTGAGACAGGGTTTATCTGTGTAGTTCTGAAGCCTGTCCTGGAACTTACTCTGTAGGCCAGGTTGGCCTTGAACTCACAGAGATCTGCCTGCCTCTGCCTCCCAGAATGCTGGGGCTAAAGGCATGCACCACCAAGGCCCACCTTATGTGTGTATTTTTAAGGGGAGGGAATGGTGTCTTTCTTTAGTAAGAAACTAAGAATGTGGACTCTGTAGCCAGAAAAACAAATGGTGTTAAGATAGTAGTTCTTCCACTTATTAGCAATTTTATATTTGTCTCTGCAGAGACAGGCTCTCACTATCTGAGGCTGGCTTCAAATTCGAGGTATAGTGGAGAATTACCTTGGACTTCTAAACCTCCTTCATCCACCTCCCTGGGATCCTGGGATCACAAGTTTACACCACCACACGCAATTTATGTGGCTCCGTGGATACAACTGAGCCGCGCGAGGGAGAGGCAAGCACTCTACCGACTGAGCTCTGTTCCCCGCCTGACTACCACCTTAAATTCTGCAAGTTCTTGCTTAACTCTGTTTCCTAAGAAAGGGATTAACATTAGTCACTAGTGGGAAACTGAAGTGAGAAATGGGGGTGAGGGGATGTCCACAAAGCGCCAGGCATATAACGTCAAAACTGATGACAGTTAAGGATCATGCTGTGCTTAAAAGAGGGGGCAAGTCGGGTTTGGTGGCACAGGCCCAGCACTCAAAAGGCAGGTGATCTCTACACGTCAAGCTCGAGATTACACAGAGGGACACAAGAGGGCGTGTGGCGTGGTGTAGCGTGGTGTACTGCCTGCATTCCCAGTGTATCTCTGTGAGTTCGAGGCCAGCCTGGTCTACAAGCGGCAGTTCCAGGACAGGTTCCACGAGAACAAAAAATAAATGAAACACTCCCCAGTTACAGAAAATGAGACTCCAATAGTGGGAAGTTGAGTCTGGGAGGTGGGTACTGCTCGGAAGTCAGGACTGTAGGACTGTAAGGACCACAGCTCTAGGGCTAACAGGACGTTAAATCAGCCCGCAGATGGGTGAAGGAAACCAAATCGATGACAGACAGGTCCCTCCATCCGCCCTCTTGCCCGGTCACCTTTGCCCCCTTTCTCCTCCTCCGACACAGTCTCAAACCCGAAGTGCGTTTCTGCGGCTCGCTTCGTTTGGGACAAGGACCGCGCACTCGGCGTGGCTCCGGGCCAGAATCTATGAAACCCGGGAAATCTGCAGTCTCCCGCTGCCCGCGACCACCCGCGACAGGAGTAGCGCCATAGACCACAGCTTCTGGGAGCCGCCATCTTGATATCCCGGCGACTGCGGGCGGAGGGCACGTCGGGTTGCGTCACCAGCTGGGTGACGGCAACCGGCAGGAGTCAGTATTAGTAGAACGCACCCGAAAACGCCTGTTGTAAAGACGTCAAGTTTGGTTTAGGATTTGAAAACTTGAACAAGTGTACAACAGGTGTTTCCTAACAGAATTTAGAATTCACCAAGAATGAGGAGAGCTCGGAGTGAGGCCCTAGTTGTGTCTGCTGCCAACCAGTAGCTCTGCCTCCAGCGTGCTAGAGTGCTCCACTTAACATGTTTTCTGTTGCAAAATCTGGCTGAAATTGAGGCATGTTGTTAAAAGACCAAGATTATGTGATCAAAATGCTTTAATTATATGTATACACATACACACACACACAAACACACATATTACTTGTGTCTATGAGGGTATGTGTGTGTGAGTGTAGGTGCCTGTGGAGCCCACAGGCATCTGATTTCTTGATGGTGTATTTCTAGGCAGATGAGCCTACTGATCTGGGTGCTGGTGATGAAATTCCGGCGCTTTGCCTGAGTGATATGTATCGTAACAGGTGAGTCATCTCTCCAGTGTCTATGTGTTTTGGTTTTGATTTTCTTTTTTTTTTTAAATATTTATTTATTATGCATACAATATTCTGTCTGTTTCAGATCTCATTTCAGATGGCTGTGAGCCACCATGTGGTTGCCGGGAATTGAACTCAGGACCTTTGGAAGAGCAGGCAATGCTCTTAACCGCTGAGCCATCTCTCCAGCCCCTGGTTTTGATTTTCTTAAGTTTCTTTTTAAGATTTATTCATTTATTTATTATATATACAGTGTTCTGCCTGCATGCATGCCTGCACGACTGAATAGGGCACCACCAGATCTCACTATAGATGGTTTATGAGCAACATGTGGTTGCTGGGAATTGAACTCAGGACCTCTGGAAGAGCAGCCAGTGCTCTTAACCTCTGAGCCATCTCTCCAGCCCCCTGGTTTTGATTTTTTGTTTTTAAATCTGAAACTATCTTACATAGTCCAGAGTGGACCTGAACTCATAGTATCCCTGGTTCAGTTTCATCCTGAGGGCTGAGAACACAAGCCCGTGCTACTCCCATCCTTTCTAGTGTCTTTGGAATTGGACCCAGGCCCGGTGCATGCTTGGCCAAGGTTGTGCCACTGAACTACATCCTAGTGCTTTTTAAATGCATTTAATTTGTTGTCGTTGTTGTTGTTGTTGTTTTCTGGGACAAGGTTTCTCTGTGCAGCCCTGGCTGTTCTGTAACTTGCTCTGTAGCTTTGAACTCAGGGATCTGCCTGCCTCTGTGTGCTAAGATTAAAGGCATGCACCACCACCATCCAGTGTACCTGATCTTTAAAATTTCATTATTTGTGTCTCACATGCACAGGCACACACATGCCAACGCCCATGTCTGGAGGTCAAGAGATGATTTTCAGAAGTCAGCTCTTCATGAGCTCTGGGACTTGAACTCAGAACCTTGGGCTTACATAGCAATCACTTCAACCTGCGGAATCACCTTGCCAGTTTTTATTTTTTATTTTGAGATAGATTTCACTAAGTTGGCAAGGCCTTGAGCTCACTTTATCACCCTACAGGCTTTGAACTTTAGACCTTCCTGTCAGAAGGAATTAAAGGCCTGCATCACTAGGCATGGCTTCCTTTTATTTTTATCTCTTTGTTAATGGAAAGGATAAAGCATTACAGACCATCTTGTACAAAAGTGAACATAGAGGCTATGAAGTCTTTCTTGAATTTCTGTTTCTGTTTTAATTCCCCTTTCAAATGTATATTTTCTGTAAATATTTCACAAGGAGAAAGTGCCAAGGATCCTAAGAAACTAATTTGAAATGAAAAGTCTCTTCTTGGTTTAATATAGCCCAACAGATGGACACCTACTGCATTGGGATTCTCTGCCCCTCTCTTCCATTTTTATGAATGACAGAAGGAAGAAACTATTCATCCATACACTTAGAATTCTCGTGTCTTTGCTACATGCAATAAAATTTCATCACAGAATTTTAGTATTTCCAGCACAGCTACTTACATGTAAGAATGGATCTCAGGATTTGGGGCTGTTTCTTCTGGACATCACATTACACTTTCTAACTGAAGCTCTGTGTGTGTGTGCGTGTGTGTGTGTGTGTGTGTGTGTGTGTGTGTGTGAGAGAGAGAGAGAGAGAGAGAGAGAGAGAGAGAGAGAGACTATAAAGTGTAAAGAAAGCAGGACCTGATGGTGAAGCTCTGTAATCACAGATACTTGATGGGATGCTGAGGTAGAAGAATCCTAACTCAAGCTCAGTATTGAGGACTCAGTGAGACCTTATCTCGAAGTAAAAAGCAGAAAAAGACTGAGGTAAAGTCCTTGCTCAGCATGTCCAAGGCCCTAAGTTCAGTACCGAGGATCTCTTGCCCGTACAAACAAAAGAGCAAAGCCAAACAAAAACTGGGAGATCATTGCTTGTGAGGCCAAGGCAGGAATATTAAGAGTGTGAGGTCAGGGGCTGGAGAGGTGGCTCAGAGGTTAAGAGCTCTGGCTGCTCTTCCAAAAGGTCCTGAGTTCAAGTCCTAGCAACCACATGGTGACTCACAACCGTCTATAGTGACATCTGGTGCCCCCTTCTAGCCTACAGGGAGAACTTTAAAAAAAAAAGAAAGAGTGTGAGGTCAAGCAAGTCATGGTGTCACACACCTTTGATCCCAGCATTCCAGGGCCAGAAGCAGGGGGATCCTTGTAAGTTCAGGCCAGCCTTATCTACAGAGCAAGTTCCAGGATCAGGACATGACAATAAGTAGAGCTGACGGGCATTGCAGGGCGGAAAGGTTTATTTGATGTGTATGAATATTTGGCCTGCATGTATTTAAGTGATATTAAGTTTACTTCATGCGTGTCTGGTTCCCTCAGAGGGGTATCCGACACGTGAAACTGGAACTAGGGATGGTTGCAAGGCACCCAGTAACCAAATCTCAGCTGCGAGAGTAGCAAATGCTCTTAACCACTGAGCCATCTCTCCAGCCCATTACAGGAGAACCTTTCTGAACGATGCTTGTAGGCCAATGAAATGGTTCAGAGCCTAAAGGTGCTCCCTGAATTCCATCCTGGTAAGAGAAATGATTCCCACAAGTTGCCCTCTTACTGGACATGTGAACTATGACACATGCTCCATACATTCACACACACAGCATAAATAAATGCAGTGATCTTTAAAGATTGACTATGGTGGTGTACATACACCTTTGGTTCCAGTACTCAGGGAACACAAGCAAGTGGGACGGCTTATAGAGAAAGTTTCAGGCCATAGGACTACAAAGTGAGACCCTGGCTCAAAAAAAACAAACAAACAAAAAACAAAAACAAAAAAACAAAACGCAGAAGCCTAGGAGACTGGTGAGATAGCTCAGCAATTAAGAGCATTAGCTGCTCTTCTAGAGGACCTGGGTTTGATTCCTAGCACCCACATGCTGCTGTAGCTCCAGTGCCAGGAGATCCAATGCCTCTTCTGGCCTCTAGAGGTGCTAGGCACAGGCACGGTGTGCAGACATACACTTAAAAATGAAAGAAATGAAAACTGAAAAGTATGCTCCTCTTGGTCTGCATTCCACTTTAACTGTGATTTCTCCCATACTATATGATAGTTCATATACTATATGATAATAAAGAACCAGAGAGTTTCAAATTAGAGTTTGATTCCTACTTTTTTTTTCTTTCTTTTTGACACAGAGTCTCACCATGTATCCCCGACTGGCCTGAGACCTAGAGAGAGCTGTCTGCCTCTGCCTAAAGATGGATTTTTACTACTTATAAATTATGTGTATGTGTACCTGTGTGGATCTGTGCACATATATGTGCAGGTGCCTCTGCAGACTAGAAGTTATTGGATCTCCTGGAACTGCAATTCCAGGTGGCTGGGAGCTGCCTAACTCAACAGAGCTCAGGTCCTCTTGAAGAAGAGCACAGTCTCTTAGCCACTGAGCCATCTCTCCAGACAAGCATTATTATTCTCCCCTTCCCACTCCCGCCCCATGATACTGGGAATCAAACTCAAAGCTTTGCCCGTGCAAGTGGCCTCCCACTAAGCTATACTGTCTCTCTATCCTATATGTGACTTATCTTACCATATAGCACAGGCTACCCTTACATTCTATATTTTCTGTTTTGGTTTCTTGAGTGTTAAGACTACAGGCAGGCACCACTAGTCTTCTGAGGGAGTAGCTCACAAGTTGAAAAGTTGATTGTGTGTATAGGGCCCTGGATTTGACCCATAACACCATTTAAAAAAAATTAAAAATAGAGTTCTTCTGTGTGTCGTGTGTCCTCCACTTGACAGCATTCTAAAGAAGTCCTCTGCATAACTAGCATATCCTCACTTAACTATACCATGTCATTTCTTTCTTACTGATTTTTACATATGATGCAGCTTGCATGCCTTATGAATGTTTTCACACATATGCACGTGTGTATGGAGTTCTGAGCTGACTCTGAGTGTCTTCCTCCATGACTCTCCACATTCTTTACTGAATGAGGGTCTCTAGGTGGACTCGCCATTTCAGCTAATCTGGCTAGCCAGCCTGCTCTGGAGATTTCCCCATCTCTGCCTCCTGTGCGCTGGAATTGTAGGCGAGGCATCACACTCCACTTGGTTTTTTAAAATTTTTTTGTGTATGGGTGTTTTACTTGTATGTATATCTGTACACTATGTGTTAGTTTTGTTTGGTACCAGACAGACACCCATACACAAATTTGGCAGGCAAAGGCTGGAAAATTTGTGAGTTTGAAGCCTGGTCCACATAATGAGTTCTGGTACAGTTAGGGCTACCTGGTGAAACACTGTCTAAAAAACAGGAATGAGGGGGGAAGTGAGGGAAGAAAGGGAAAAAAGGGAAGAGAGAAAAATCAATGGTAAGAACAAGTCTTACAGCAGTCCCTCCCCGGGGACCCATTACTGGACCCGGATGTTGGCGAAAACTACATTTCCCGGAATGCACCACGCGCACACGGCGACTATATAAATAGTCCATCCGGGTTCTTTGAGATGCTATTTGGCGACTCGTCGCCATTCCCGGAGCACCTCGGCCTCGGCCCAGAGGCGAGTGTCAGTCGCTGTGTCGGAGACTCCGGTCCCCGGCACCGAGACAGCCAGCCCTCTCTCCTGCCCCGCGGCGGGAGAGCGTGTCCGGCCGGCCGGCGGGGCTCGCGACCCTTCCGCACCTCCCCTTCCCCCGCAGCCTCCGCCCCGCCAGGCCCGGCCCGGA